ACCCATCCGCAGCCAAACCCTGCTCCTCTCCATCCCCTCGGCACGGCAGGGATCCGTACGCGGCCAAACCCCGCTCCTCTCCATCCCCTCGGCACGGCAGGGATCCATGCACAGCCAAACCCCGTTCCTCTCCATCCCCTCGGCACGGCAGGGATCCGTACGCGTCCTCACACTCTGTCCTTGCGTTCACAGCATGGAGCAACCGATACCCACCGTCATCAGCGCCGTCCACTCCAGGGCAAAGCACCGTAAGTGGTCTCATTCGTACCATTTCATAGAATCACTGAATAGTTTGAGTTGGAAGGGCTCATGGAGGTCATCCAGCCCAACCCCCCTGCAGGGAGCAGGGACATCTCCCACTAGCCCAGGTTGCTCAAAGCCTCATCCAGCCTGGCCTTGAACCCCTCCATTCAAGAAGCCTCCATTCAAGCATGAGGGGAATAATTCACGTTACTGAACACATCCATGAGGTGTGAGATTATCTAATTGGGAAAGGGCAGAGCTAAAACATGCAGGAGCTCCGATGGGTGTTTAATCTCTGCCGTAAATGCAACACAAATTATCTGAGGGCAGGCCCCGTAGTCTCTGCCAGCACCCTGAGAACCTCCAAGCTGTTTGCCAGAGGAACACGCAGCACCGACGGCGAGACGAAGCCAAACGGAGCCAGCACCAAGGTGTTGCCCTCCAGAAGCCCCAGCGACGATGCAGCAACACCCGACAGAGATGCCTCCAGCAGCGGTGCCCGGCCGGAGCTCGACTCCCTGCCCGCCGAGGAATGCTCCTAGGAGAGCCGGAGCCCCACCGCGTGAACACGAGACCTGTCGGCATTTGGAGCCAAAGCACTTTGTCCGAGGGACAAAGGAGGAGAATCCACCCCTTTGGAGCCTCTTTTGTCTCTGCAATATCCCAGTTAACGTCTCTGTTCCCAGTTACACGCAGAACCCAACCCAGGATGTTAGAGCCTCTCCCATTCAGACACCCACACCATCATCTTCCTCTCTGGGTCCGTTTCCCCAGAGGATTTGCACTCACAGCCCTTGACACCCACTGCGATGGGTTCACCCCGGCTGGGAGACAACCCCACGCAGCCGCTCTCTCACTCCCCCATCCCGGGGCCGGGGTTGAGATTTAAAGGGGTGAAGGGAAAAAAGGAAACTTGGCGGGAGGGGAAGTGTCGTTACACGAGCTTTTAGCACAGCAGCCAGAAGCCGTCAGCCATTCTGCCAGTATTACAGAATCCTCTCTGCTCCGTCCCTGCTCTGTGCGTGGCTGCGAGGGGCTCGCCGACATCGACATCGAGCTTTCCAAACCGAGCTGGTGGGGAGAGGCGGGTAACAGCCCGAGCCAGGGGGATTTGGGACATGGGGTCTGTCTGGTGACAAACACGCTGGCTGTGCTGGGGGACCCTTGACACACCAGAATATTTCGCTGATTTTGCCCCTTCCCATGCCACCAAAGCTGAAACTCCGCCAACCCTTATTTCCATGAGCCGTCTCTAGCAGCGAGCAGCTCTGCCTGTGTCCCCTAACGCACTCCAGACCCTAGAAATGGGATTCTGGTTCCCATTTCATGTCACCGAGCAGGACTTCTCTTTGTATTTATTGAACTTGCACAGTGGCTTTTGCCTTCCCCACCGCCACCGGCCGTGTCACACCAAGCCACCAGAGCCAGCTCTAGATGCCACGTCCCGCTGTGAACCAGCATCGGGGGGATGCTCTGGCCTCACCACGGGCGTTACCGGGGCCCCCACGCACAAACCAGCACAGCCCGTGCCCCAGCGCATTGTCCTGGCTCCGGTCTCAGCCGCTGCCACGCAGCCCCACCTGAGTTCCCAGATTTTGGTTTCCCAGGACGAGTTGTTGATGTTCTCTTTGCATATCTCCACTGAGCACGTTGCAGTATTTCCACATTTCCGTAGGATAGACGACGACCAGAGCGTCCGTGTAACCGCAGCACCCGCTCTCCGGGGTTATGGTTGTTACAATAAAGTACTGACTGTCACAGGGAAAGCATCGTCTTGGGTTTTTTTCCAAATTTCTCACCACAACCCACCTGAAACAGCAATTCCTGCCCCAGTTGCCAGCAGATCTCAGCTGGGGGCTCTGGCTAAACTCTGGCAGACAAAGGAACCTCAAATTGTGTTCCAGGTGATTTGTTTGAATC